TGTATATATATATATATGTATATACACACAACATGAAGATAAAGTCTGCTTGTTTTCTTGAGCCGTCTCCATTTTCTTTCTCCACCACAGGTTGATGAACACAGAGAATAACCTGATTCAGACTCGAGAGGAGGAAGGAGAGCCGTTTGAGCGGACTCTGGTGGGCTCAGAGTTCGTGGACTGGCTGCTGCAGGAGGGGGAGATGCCTTCCAGGGAGGAGGCGGAGCAGCTGGGCCGGAGGCTTCTGGAACACGGCATCATTCAGCACGGTGAGGAGGATCAGTGCTCACAGGTCTCATGCAGTGTTCAGAATCACAATAACACTTAAACAGTTAAACTATTTGGCTTATTAGCTTTGCAGTTCTTACCTTGGCTAACATTTGACCATTTTTGTTCTCATGCTAAAAAAATAATGGGGATTTGTTCACCTTACTGTAAACTTTGCCATTCGATTGTTTTTGCAAACCTTTGTTTTTTCCTAGTATTTCTTTCTGCTTCATCTGTCTTAAACAACTGACCCCAAGAGGCTAAAAGTCTGTCCAAATGTCATGTTGTTGCCAAATGGATGTTCTGTTAAAAACTCTTGAGAGAAGTAAATCTGGTTCTCCCTGTAGTTCAGTCTTGGCTCATGTGATCGGGTCAGCGAGTTCTGACTGTGCACCCACTTCCTGCTTAACTCCGAGACCAGAACGTTCATCTGTTTGTGTCACATGCGTCTTTGTCTTTGCACACATCAAATCCAGCTCTCTKATTTTAATAAATCCTACTTTCTCTCATTTTAGACACAAACAGGAGCTGGTTTACTAATTTAGCAACGTTTTGATGAACTTTACTAGGATTACCGTTTGTGTGTCTTTGCTTGAACACCTAAAACAAAATCTWGGTTGAATTCATCCCTGGAGTCTGTCTGGATTATTTTTAAATATGGAAACTGTGTTCATTTTTTTCCTTCTAAACCTCATTATTGCTCCTTTTGGACTCTGAACTGACCCACATTATGTCTCACAATGACTGGGATCCTACTTTTTGATTTGCTCTTGCTGTTATGTTTGACCCCACCCCGTCTCTTGGATGCAGTGAAGAACGAGTGAGAAACATTAGACGGAGGAGGTCTGAGTGTCATAAACTTCTGCAAGTTATCAGGTTGTTTTGCATTTTATGGTCAGGACGCTTTCTTATTGGGATGTTGCCTTCAACAAAGGGTGGATGATAATGTTTTTTATTTTTATTTTTTTGTATTTGTGTCTGTTTGTCTGTTTGCTAGCAAATGTCTCATGAACCACTGGACACATTTTAATGAAACTCTCAGAAAATAATCAGTCAGTTTCATCGTTATTWGGCTAAAATCTTGTGGAGTGCTAGCTGAGAGTCATCCCCAACACATCGTATGAGTGCTAAGTGTTGGAGTCAACACTGTCTGTCAGTAAAATATCTCAAAGACCAGCAGTTGGATTTCACTGAAACTTTCAGGAAGTCATCTTCCTACTAAACCAGAACCGTGAATTCTTTAGAATCCATATTTATCATAAAGTCACTGTATATGGAAGTAAATTGGGGCTATAAAGAAAAAAAAAAGTTGAAACTGAAAAAAACTACTTGTCAGATTCCAGCGCCTTTATTAGCAAAAATGATTTTTGCTTAAATTTAATATTTTTATCAAACATGCCATGTCTCTGGTCGATGTTTTGTTTCACTGAAATCACCCCCACCACCACGACCAAAGGGAAAAAAAAGAGAAAAGTCAGTAGTTCAGAAATGGGCCTGTAATGTTTTTAGAATGAGATGGATCTAGTTTTCATTTTGATTTGCTCGACCACTGCATGTTTGAAAAAGCTAGAGCCAGTTTAAAGAGTCAAACTTATAATACACAACACAGCTGGTAACGTAGTTGGAAAAGAAAGAGGTTTAAAGATGGTTTCATATTTTTAGCAAGCTTGTGTTTCAGCCTCAATATCCAGAAAACAAATGAACCATAAAAGATGAAGATGACCTATTATTGGACTGCAGGAAAACCCGTTTGAGAAACTCTAATCTGTTACATTAAATGATTCTTTTTAATACAAACGTGAGGAGGACTACTGAAATGATACTGTATTTTACCACTAGAAAAGGGTTTAAACCTTGTTGAGAAATAGCTGCAGTTTTTGTATTGTGAGTTAGTGCCTCTGCTTTGTGTGTACTGAAACACATCACACACACAGAATACTCGGAATCCAACTAATTACAGGCAGAAATAATCCCTGCTATCTCACTAATTTATCACATTGTAGTAAATTCTGCTTTCCTCCCTCTGGATGAATCTGAGTGCCTGCTGGATTCAGTCCTGCAGACGTTCTCTCCTTCTTAAGAAGTCCATCTGCAACCGGTCCTGTTTGACGTGTTCCTGGACTGCTGCCTGAATGAGTTTTTGTGGGGGTCACTACATGACAGGAAATTGGATTTATATTTAGTGTCTGATTAAATTAGGCAGCTTTATTGTGGAAAAGTGGTGGTTTTAGTGCTAAAGAGATTTATTTTCACTTTAGGGAAAGTTGATTAAAATTGACTCGAAAGTCTTTAAATCTTTAAAGGGATCCACGATTAGTTGTAACATTAGACTTTATTTGATAAACATATATTTTAACTGTAAAATAAAGACTGTAGAAAACTGTAGAATGTTAAGTTTTTATCATTTTTAAACTAAAAGTTTAAAAAATATATTACAYGGACGAGGCCATTTCATTTACATGCAAAGCATTCTGGGTAAATTACATCAACTAGGTCATCGGCATGAGGCTGCTAGCGAGCTATATCCACTCTGAAGGTTAATGTTGGACAATATCTGACAATTGGCTCTTTTAAATGAAACCAGAGAGCGTTGACAGAGAGGAGAAGGTAGAAATGACTCAGACAACAGAGCTGCTTCATGGAAGAAGAACCTCAGCTTATCCTGTTCGCTTTAGCATTAGCCCCAACTCTATCACCATATATACAGGTGCTGGTCATAAAATTAGAATATCATGAAAAAGTAGATTTATTTCAGTAATTCCATTTAAAAAGTGAAACTTGTATATTATATTCATACATTACATACAAACTCATATATTTCAAATGTTTATTT